GCCCCAGGCCAGAAACAGCGTGAGGAGTGACCATTGCGGGGCAGGGCACCTGCAGAGAGGGTTGGACCCAGACTGTCTCACCAGACACGGCTGAGTTGCAGCCCTGCCCCCTCCCCTCCCACAGCCCCACCCCTGAGGGCACAGGGCCTCACCGGGCAGAGTTCGGAGGTAGGTTCTGGGAAGCCCTGCCCCTTAACAGACAAGCAGTGAACAGCGGAGAGAGAGGAAGCCCAGTTAATGAGCCTGTCCTGGGACTCAAGTAAACACGTGACTTGATTACCTGGGAGGGGAGGGGTGACGGAGGCAGTTAAAGGGGAACCACCAGGGAGACTGAGTCAGGGCGGCGGCACAGACACAGCCAGCGGGGGCTTCCCAGCCAGGAAGGTAGCTGGCACGCAGCCAGCAGGCAGAGAGAGAGAGAGAGAGAGAATAGAAGTGGTAAAGAAGGGTTGCTGTCCATCTAATCTATATTTATAAAAGCCTAAGGGACCGGTTGACTGGTCGCTATGACACACACTGACCACCAGGAGGCAGACGCTCAATGCAGGAGCTGCTCCCTGATGGTCAGTGCGCTCCCACAGCCAACCTCCCACACTGATTTTCAGCCAGGCCGAGGGACCCCACCCACACACGAATTCGTGCACCAGGCCTCTAGTTGAAAAAGAGAGAAAACCATTGAGGAAGTGCAGTGAACAAGTTCTCAGACCAACACACAGACAATCTCACACCGTGCCCCAAAACATCAGCAGGATAGACACGACCCAACGCGCCAGCGCTGGGGACACCGGGGCCGAGGAACGTGCTGAAATGCCCGGGAAAGGGCCGGCACCAGCGTGGCGTCAGACGCGGTAACAGACACTCCAAGCAAAGAGACGCAGATACTCTGTGTTCAGTGCTGGAGGAGGAAATCTGAAACTTGAATTTGACGTCCTGTAAACGACCCCCTGCAGCACAGCCCACGAGCCCACAAGCCCACGCTGCTCTGGGCGGCCGCCTGAGGGAGTCTGTGCCGCAGGGTGCCTGGAGGACGGCGGGGTGCGTGTGTGCATGTGCGTGTGTGCACATGTGTGCACGTGAGTGCATGGGCCTTTACAGAGTCGCACTCTCCAAACAACCTAGTGAGAGAATCAGCAACTGAGACTCAGCTGTCCCGCCCGAGAGGGGCGTGTGGCCCCCCTCCCCCGGCCGCTGGAGGAGGAGTAAAGCAGTAAACCCGGGTGGGGACAGGTTGGAAGGAGGCGAAGGGTGTTTACCATCCACATCACCTGGGGGGATGTCTCCTCCCGGGAAGGAGGGAAATAGGCAGAAGAACGACCCAGAGCAGACCCCGGGCGCAGCGAGCGCCACCCCACAGCGTTGCCTCGGAAGGCGCTCAGTCGCATGGACACGCCGCGTGGTGAGGCCTCAGGACGGAGCAGTTCTAACGTTCCGGCTGACAGCACCGCGAGTGACCGTACACACCACAGGCTCGGGCTCAGCAACGGCGGTGTGGCAGGTGGGAATAGTTCTAACCGGCGGCTTCTTTGCAGAACCCACGCCATTAAGCAAGTGGACATACGCAATGGTGACCTTTGCATAAGCGTTAACACGCTCTACGCTGATAGTTACATGTTACATTCATGTGCGCACACGTTTACATGTGTACATAGACTTTACACTCAGAAAAGCATCAAGGAACATTTAACAAAATCAAAATCTCTCCGAAGACGAATAAGAAAGAAAGAAAAAAAGTCTAGCAAGATTGTTGATCTTTTTAAATTTTTTTATATATTTTATTGATTTTTTTACAGAGAGGAAGGGAGAGGGATAGAGAGAAACATCGATCAGCTGCCTCCTGCACACCCCCCACTGGGGATGTGCCCACAACCAAGGTACATGCCCTTGACTGGAATCGAACCCAGGACCCTTCAGTCCACAGGCTGACGCTCTATCCACTGAGCCAAACCGGTCAGGGCAGTCGTTGATCTTTTAAACGTAAAGCAAGGAAAAATGTACAGAAAGAAAATGCGGCAGACCCATAGGAGACGTGAAACTGAAGAAGGAACGTGAAGAACTGTGCCCCGAGAACTGGAAACAGAAACGGGCGTGTCTGGGGAAATACAGACGCCTGGTCCGTGCGCAGGTAGAAACACAGCCCTTCACCCAGAACGGAGCGAAAGCAGGAGTACCCTGCTCCCTCCGCACCGGCCTCGCCCCAAGGCCGGCCGTGTCCGCCGGGTCCTAAGCCAGGCGTGCAGGGCGGTTCAAGGAAAAGGAATCGCAGGCCCTTTGTCCGCAAAACCCCCAGTAAAACGTTAGCTCCTCAAACAAGAATATTTTTTTTTAATGGGTGAATTTTTTTATTACATGTAAATTATACCTTATTTTTTTTTATATTTTATTGATTTTTTACAGAGAGGAAGGGAGAGGGATAGAGCGCTAGAAACATCGATGAGAGAGAAACATCGATCAGCTGCCTCCTGCACACTCCCCACTGGGGATGTGCCCGCAACCAAGGTACATGCCCCTGACCCGAATCGAACCTGGGACCCTTCAGTCCCCAGGCCAATGCTCTATCCTCTGAGCCAAACCAGTCAGGGCCAAAAATACTTTTAAAATAACGAAGTTGAGCGGTGGGGATTGGATTGGATTCAGACGCCAGGACGGCTTCACAACAAAAAACGCGTCCGTGCCTCCGGGTGAGGCCAGAGGACCGATGGCCTCGGTGGCAGCGGAAGGCGTGCCCAGTCAGTGTGTCTGTGGGATGGAAATTCTGGGGGGCCGGACAGCAAGGGCGCGACGATGCGAGGCGCCTCGAAACCACTCGAGTGGCGGGGAAGCCAGCGGCCCAGTCTACCTAGGAGCTGCCGGGCCTTCCCTCCGTGGTCCTGCTGTTCCTCCCTGTGGCTCTCCGTGGCCTGACAGCTTCCCCACTGGGGGGCGCGGGCTCTGCCTGCTCCGAGGGACCCGGCTGGTGGGCATGGTGGGCACAGCAGGCGCCCTCTGGGGCTGCCTACCTTGACCTTGCCGAAGTCCAGCTGTGTCTGCAGCGTGTACATCTGCTCCATGCGCTCCATCTTGTGGGCTCCCTCGTTGCACTGCTTCACCAGCTGCAGGGTGTGGGCAGGGAGGTGGCTGGGCTGCGGGCCCCACCGGCCCAGGTCGCCGCCCTCCTGGCCATCCTAGCCCTGCCTTGCCAGGAGCTCAGTGGCTGTGTGCGAGCTCCACGCCCTCTGGGCCTCGGTGTCCCCCCTGGTACCATGAAAAGCTTGGGGTGGACAATCTTCAAACGCTTCCTGCCAGGCCCTTGGGGTCTCTGCTATCGGGGGTGGGGTCCCCCTCACCTTGTTCATGGCTTTGAATGCGCGGCTGGCGGCCTTGTACCTCTCGGGGTGGCCCTGGGTCTTGAGGCAGAGTGTCTGCAGGGGAGGCACCAGGTGTGAGCGAGCACCAGGCACCTGCCCGCCCCAGGCTTAGTGGCCCAGGTCAGGGAGGCTCCCTCACACCAGACCCAGGTGGGGCCCCCAAATGGCTCAGCCGGGTCAGGCCGGTTGGGGGGGACTTGGAATGAGTGCCC